TTTGATAATAAGACAAAACATGCTCCTGCCGAAATAAAGTCGATTTACGTAAACATTTATAATTTTTGTGTATGACGTCATGGTGCCGCTGAGTGCAGGTCATGATAGACTGTCACCCAAGTTTTTCGTAAAGCTTGACGTACGTGTAACTTTGTATAGAAGTATACCCAGCAACTCGATTTTCGGGTTAGAGTAGGGCTCTTGGGTCTAGGATGGTAGGGATGATCAGATATGGCCCAAAACGTTGAAAATAGCCAAACACACGTAAACAAACAATTCCCATCGAAAAATTAGCCATATTTCATTTTGGGCCGGGCTGTCGTGAAGTTGGCCGGACCCAAATGGGGTTTTAAAAAGGGGGGAAGAAGGTGTAAACAACATGCTCTTTGAAATCCATAACATACAAATAAAAAATTGGAACGTTTCATAACCTAACATTTACATAGCATTATATCACTCCAAAACTTTTGAAAAATTTCATTTTGGCGCCCCTATTAATTCGTGACGTCATAGAATGAACCGTGTTTGTCGCCAAAATTAAGGCTATACCTGGCCAATGTCACCACCATTGGCGGGAAAAAGTGCATGGACGACTTTGGCCACCCTCTGATGATGAAACCAAAAAACATTTTATAACAAAATATTCCACCATAGTGGCTAAAGCGAAAACTCACTTCGCGCCCTTGGTAAACGATATCGATGACAATCTGCCAAATTATCGTAAGTATCAAATGCGTAATTTTACAGGACAGAGAGTTTTTTGATACTCCATAAATAAACGGTTATAGTAATTCCGCTAATCTTAATTATAATTTAAATGCTATTTTGAAGAGATATAAGGAATGAATTATTCTTTAAAACGTTATTTTCTATTAATTTTGAGACTTAGTTATTTTTGCGATTACTAATTTACTTATAGTGTTATCGTAAGTATCGAACTTACGCTAATTTTCAAGTAAGGTGAATTGAGTTACGATACTTTAGTGGTTATTATTTGGAATCATGTTTGTCTATAAACAAACTACATGAAATAATTTTTTTCCTCGAAAAATACAAAATCAATAATATAAAGAAAACAGTACGTGGTAAAGAAATGTATAGTAACGTAGTAAATCATACTAAAACTAAATTAAAAATATTACTTTATACCCTATTTATAATCAATTATAATTTAACTATCATCGCGATCCGTATCTGGCTCGTCTTCTTCATCAGTTTCTGCCAGAACATCTTTCATATTTTTCTTTGCCCTAAGATCGAAAAATTCTGCGTGAAACTGCTGAGGTATAATATTCTTCTTGCAAAGGTTTTCTAAATCTCTTTTCTTCATTACTGATATTGGGAGTAGTTGGGAATACAGTACGTCATTGGTCAATTCAGAATTATTATATTTTAGCGCTAAAAGTATTATGACAATAAATCATATAGTACACTATACTTACCATTTCGTTTTGCTTGCAGGACATTAACAAAGCTATTTTGTCTATCACAGTTGTAGCCAGAGTTGGACTGGGTCACTGGGTCACCTGGGTCACTAAATTAAACTGGGTCGCTGGGTCACGTCATACTCTTTTCAGTTAGACCCAGTGACCCAGTTTGACCCAGTGACCCAGTTTGACCCAGCGACCCAATTTCACCCGGGGACCCAATTCGACCCAGTCACCTAGTTTGATCGAATAACGCAGTTAAGTCAGTGCCCTCGGTTCAAGTGTACAGATTATGAAATAAATGAAATGCTGGTTTGTTGAAAATAATACTCGATTGCTTGACAACTGCCATTTCTGTGATGTTTGCTTTAATACTGCCGTAAAAAAACTTTCCATGTCCCGAATTGTATTAGAATAATGTTATTTCTTTGCTTCAGGGCTTACCAGTTTGCTTACAGGTGTTCATTCACATTTAATTTTTTTCTACTAGTTAGCTTAATCCAAATAAATCTTTTCTCTAAATACTTTCATTGACTGCTTGACTACAAACTATAAACAAATGCATTTGATTTTTTTAGGTATTAGTTCTCTTGAATGAAATTGGGCTAAGTGCTTGTTGCCGAATATTATTGAGGAAGTTTTTTTTTAAATTAAAAGTTACTTGAAATTGTTTTGGATGATACCTAACAATAATTTAATTACTGGGCCACCGGGTCAAGACGGGTCACTGAGTAAAGCTGGGTCAAGATGGGTCAAGCTGGGTCACCGGGTCAAACTGGGTCACCGGGTCAAGCTGGGTCACTGGGTCAGTAAACGAACTGGGTCACCGGGTCACTGGGTTACTCTATGCTTGACCCAGTCCAACTCTGGTTGTAGCTGATCTGGAATGTAGCTTTTCCCTTCTCAAAACAAGCTTGCTTGATTTGACTTATCTTTAATAATTGGCCATGGGAAGTTTTGGTCGTGGTGGTTGGTAGTATGTGATCTCCAAACTTCTTCTAGTTTTTGAAATCGTAATAATGCATTTTTGTCACATTAAATGGTTTTGGATTGACCCTAGCATTAGATATAATTGTCGTCCATTCTGACGGTGCCCACACAATTCTTCGCTTCATAAAACGCTCTATTGTTGCATGGACAGAGTCCACTGGCATATACAGGGTGACAATTTGAAAACTTACCACCCCCCATATATTAGTAAATAAACGAGATATTTAAAAAAATCAAAATCCGTTTCGGTAATTCGGAAGGGGAATTACAATGACATAATTGGCGACGCACCCCCTCCAACCCCCTGCGCCCCAGCCACTCCAACTTTTAAATCTTAAATAGTGACCCCCCATGTGTGATACGTCGTTGGAAAGCTCTGAAAAAATGCTTTCCAACCATACCAAATAGCATTACATTTAGGTTAGTAATTACCATGCAAATCAAAAAATAAACTAATATGATACATTTGAAATCTGTCGTATTTAAAACGCAACCGGCGAACATTAGACGAACTAAGACAGAGAATAATTCAAGAATGTCGAAATATTGCAAAACCAACATTGGAAAGGTTCGACAAGAGTTTGAGAATAGATTATAACTGGCGATCAAAAATGAGTTGCTGTCGAGTCGGCTTTGGAAGTTCAAGTTAAATACGATTTTCCATGTTTATTTTTTGATTTGCACGATAATTACTAACCTAAATGTAATGCTATTTGGTATTTGGTATGGTTGGAAAGCATTTTTTCAGAGCTTTCCAACGACGTATCACACATGGGGGGTCACTATTTAAGATTTAAAAGTTGGGGTGACTGGGGCGCAGGGGGTTGGAGGGGGTGCGCCGCCAACTATGTCATTGTGATTCCCCCTCCGAATTACCGAAACGGATTTTGATTTTTTTAAATATCTTGTTTATTTACTAAGATATGGGGGGTGGTAAGTTTTCAAATTGTCACCCTGTATGTATGCCCAGGTAAGAGGTAAACTATTGTAATAGTCTCTATGTTATTTGAGTGCACCTGTAGAAAATTTTGCAACATTGCTAACATAGCACGGTTGCGGTTCTGACCAGCGCAACTGTCACAATATAGGCTGATATTTCTTATACCTCTATCATCGACAACTTTGAGATATTGAGACATAATGGTGCATATTTCATTGCATCCCCGGTTACCATCTGCTTCTCCCCATAAAAAAGCAGTAAGTATTCCTCGAACCACTTTCGTATACAGTTTGGTTGTAGGAATACTTTCGGGAATAATACAAAAGCATATTATCCCCATGTGGCGTGTTTAACACTTTTTGTAAGTCGAAACTAACACATAGACGACTATCATCTTTTAAACATTCCTTTTGATCGTTTAAAAACAACTCTTTACTACTTTCTTTCATTTCTAAATGTTTGTGAAACAGTTCTTTAGTTGCCTCAGTTTCTTTAAATGCGCCATATTTTCTTGGCTCACATAAATGGCATTTGTCTTTCTTGGGAACATGGAAGCCTAGATTGAAATCTTTCGAGAAGATATTACGAAATACTTTTAACGATGGAGCGTTATTACATTGATTTAATTCCTTACAAAAAATACGATATAAGTTGGCCACATTTCTTATTTCAGACGGAAGATACTTTCTTGAACTCTGGTTGCGGCAGTAATGAGATGGGACTGCTGGAAGTTTCTTAATAAAAGCGTGTACTAAGTCTTTCACTTCTGCGGTCGTTTTATTGTGGGGTGTGTGCTTGCCTCTTTGATCAGATTTTGCACATTTATGAACAGCATTGTTGATAGCATATCTAAGAGTCATTTGGGACACATCAATTGTTTTTAATAAGAATTGTTGACATACTTCCACTTTTTTTGTCACACCAATTAATAAAGTATTTAAAAGAATTGTGCCTCCTACTAATGGCAGCATCCTGCTTTCTACGCCGTACGGACACCTTCTCTACCCATGCTAAAAGCCAAGCACGTTGCCGAATATACGATCCCAGGCCACAATAAAATTCGTGGATATCATGACGTTCTAGCTGTGTAAATGAACTAGAACACCGATTTTGGCAGTTGCTTTTGCATGGAGTTTCCTGAACCTCTTTTATCTCCTAACTGATTTCTTTGCTTCCTAGTTTTTTTTTATTTAATTTTTCGGGGTTTCTTAAACCGCTATTTCCATCGACTTCTAATTCTAAATCAACGAAATCCTCTTCTTCGTCCTCATTATCGTTCTCGCCAGAGAAATACGAAACGTCAGATTGGAACCGTCTTATTAACAACTGTTTTTTATTTTGTTGCGCAGATAGTCTGACGTTTTCTATATTCGCATCGTCTTCACTTGAAGAACTATAGTCAACCAGTTTTATAGAAGACTCAATGTCTTGAATATTATTTAATATATCCCTTTTTGGTACACCAGCGGTAGTGGATTCTATTAAAATATTAGGAGCTTCATTGTTATCTTCCATTATTAAGTTATGGTTATGACTAGGGATGGGATTTTTAGGCAAGTGAAAATGAAAAAAAGTAGGGAAAAAGGCAAAAAAACCACTAAAGTAGGCAAGAGAGATTACATTATATGCATAGTGGTCTAAAGTATAGGCATATTTTTTATTAAACATAAAAGAACATTAAAATGCTACTATATACATAATTTGCATATTCTAACACTGTGATTTACTAAAACTATGTGTGACCATCAACATTTCGATGTTTTTTTCTGAAAGATTGTGTCTTTTATCACTAAGTATGTGTTTATACATGGAAAAGGATCGCTCAACCTCACATGAAGTTATTGGGGCATACTTAAAAATAGGTACATCCTTTGTTTGAAAATTTAAGGGAAGTTCCGCTTCCCCACCACAAAATATTTTTTTAATTGATGACAAGAGTTCATAGCCTGGATTTTTTATTAGAGTATTTTTTAACTTATTATATGCAAGTTTTGCTACAGGTCCAGGAGCTGTACGTAAGGAAGTTGTTAAGTTTTCAATTAATTCTAATGACTCCGATAATGGCATGCTTCTTGCTTCTATTTTCGTGATTGTATCAGAAATTATTTTAAAATGTGAATGAATATAAACAATTTCGTTTTTAACATTTGGAGATTTAAAAAAATGTTGTGCATTTTTTATTGATACTGCAACACCTGCATCAAAACGTAACACCACCTAAAACAGTACAGTAGAATATATTTACAATGTCTTGTATTTTTTACCTCCTTTATCTGCTCAAAATGAGTATGATAAAATGAAACAGCATTTAACCAGGTACCCCACCTTGTTAGAACCGGTTCAGGTGGTAGTGCAACGTTAGGTATCCTCTCTTTATAAATTTGCACTCTTAAAGGAGCTTTTAAAAATATCTTTTTTCTACAACTGTCAAAAAAACCTGTCATTTTCTGACGGATTTCGAAACGCGAAGTACTAGATTTTTAATCGGTTAATTAATAAGTAAGGTTGCTCTTGACAACGTGCGCGAAATCGTCAACAGTGAAAAAAAGTATTTCGCGCACGGGAGAAAGTTGAACTTAAACAGCAATTTAATTAACAATCGGTTCAGTTGTAGAAAAAATATTGTATATAACGCTAGCGCGAAGTTATTTCGCGCATTTGACTGATATTTTAACTCGGCTTCGCCTCGTCAAAATACCTTCAGTCTCAATGCGCGAAATTGAACTTCGCGCTCTTGTTATATAAATAACTATTTGGTATTAGATATTATACCATTAACATTATGGTATTCCTGGCGGATTACCTCCGCTACAAGATTTAGCGCATGTGCCATGCATGTGAAATGTATAAGGTTGGGGTAAAACACTTTAAGACTTGTTGCACATTTAAGCATGTATGGAGCTGCATCAGAGTACATGACTAACTTTTGAGTATTGTATTCCATTTGGCCACAGTATAGCTACAAAACATTTTATTAACTTCTATTGAAAATTACAATATGCATTACCAAGACTATCATTCACAAATCTTGCTACTGTGCAATGATTTGTCCTTTCCAAAACCTTACAAGACAGTAAGTGCGGAGTGGTTAACATATCTTTTGAGAGCTTTCCTACTATTAAATTTGCAACATACCGTCCCATTGAATCGGTAGTTTCATCCACACATATCCAAACATTATAGTGGCCTATATCTGCTCGAATATCACTTATTGCCTTAAAAAGATAGACAAAATAAATTACAATTGTAATTAAAAAATTATATTGTACCTGATTGTAACACTTTGGTAAATAAAGTTTGCTTAGCGTTGTGCGATCGGGAATGTTAGTCAAGCTGTATTTTTCTAGGAACTGTCGAAATTGCGGATTATCTAACTTATACCAAGGTATATTTGCAGCAATTAGTGCTGTACATAAATCCATATAGAAGGTTGCTTTCACATTTCCATTGCCTGTAATTGATTCAGGTAACTGTGATTGCTTAGAAACTCTCTTCGATAGCAACCTTTTATGTGCATTGGTCTTCTCATGTTGTAGGATGTGAAACTTCTTCTTACAGGAAAACTTGAAACATAGGATAATAGTGGAGAATACTACCGCTATATATAAAAGTACTTACAACTTTATTACAAAGTCTGCAAAATAATTTGTCACCTTCATGATATTTAAAATGGGGATTGTCTTTAATCCAGTTATTTATCGACACTTCTCTGTTTTTAGGCATTATAATTTTATTTAATATTGAAATCGCTAACTTCAGTCACTTCTCACTTCTCGTGCATGTATAAATATGCTGCCTTTTAAATATTGACGGTAAGCACATTATAAGTTTATCTTTTATATAACACAGGATATATTTATAGCTAGGCCTGATGATGGCAGGTGGGTTTATGCAAAAAATTTAAGAATTAATTTAAAACTAATTTAAAAATTAAATTAAATTAACACAAGACAACGGTTTATCCAAAAGAAATAATTTATGAGAAATAATTTTTAAGGCATGCGCTTTTGGTTTTTGATGCCCAACCTCCTTCTTTACTGTCATAATTTTATAAACATAACCTTGATTTTGGCGCGTAAACTTAACCTATAAATATTCAAGTTTCTTCAAATGTACTTGATTGTATACATACTATGAATAGGCGTAAATTGATTACCTGCATGGGATTTTCCTTGCTCTTATTAAGTACAGCAGCAGCTGTAGTTACAATGAAAGAGAAACGTAGAAGGCGTTGGGGTATACGGCCTCTTAATCGTGAACGGAAGCGACTAGGACATTTTGCCACTCTGGTCATTTATATGCAAAACAACGATGAGGAGCAATTTTTTAAATATACTAGATTAACCCCAAGATACTTCCACATTCTACTAAACATTGTCAAGCCATTTTTGACCAAACAACCTAGGAACAAGATTTTTATTAATCCTGAGGAACGATTAATGATGACGTTACAGTAAGTTCATAATAAATGTGATGGTATACTAATGTAATAACAGTTTCCTATCCCAAGGTACGTCCATGCAAGATATTGCATGGAATTATTATGTTGGTAAGACCACCGTTCACTGCATAATAAAAGAAACTTGCCAAGTCCTTTGGGAACGACTTCAACCTATTTATTTATCGACTCCATCAAAAAACGATTTTGAGAGAACTGCTGCCGGTTTTTCCAGGTTGTGGAATATGCCCAACTGCATTGGTGCTGTGAATGGGAAGCACGTAGTTATTCAAAGTCCCAAACATTCTGGATCACAGTTTTTTAGTTACAAAAAAACCTTCAGGTATAAATATGTTCTTGTTAGATGTATAAAAAATGAATTTATTGTGTAGTATTGTCCTGATGGCAAGTTGCGATGCTCAGTATAAGTTTAATATGGTGGACATAGGGGCTGCCGGATCTAACCATGATGGCATGGTATTTAGAGAATCTGGATTTGGTAGTGCGCTACTTGAACAACGTCTTCAACTACCAAATCCAAAGGTGCTACCAGGAAGCAGCATTCTGCTACCCCACTTTTTGGTGGCAGATCAGGCGTTCCCACTGCACCAGAACATAATGAGGCCTTATCCCGGAGAACATTTGGTAGAAAAAAAAAGGATTTTCAATTATAGATTATCAAGGGCACGACGGTGCATAGAAAATGCATTCGGGATTGTGGCACAACGGTGGAGAGTGTTGAGAAAAACTATTATCGCAGACCTCAGCACTTGTGAAGAAATTGTGAAAGCAACTGTGGTTCTACACAATTTTATACTTACAGAAGAAAATGGCAAAAAAGTATATCTACCAAATGGTTATGCCGATTACATAGATGGCGAAGGGACTCTCCACGAAGGTCGTTGGAGAGGTACTGGACAACACTTAACAGGCATTGGAAGGATTGGCACCAACAACTTTTCTCACAGAGTTGGTGCAAATAGAGATTTGCTAGCGGATTATTTTGTGTCCGATGCTGGAAGTGTACCATGGCAAATCCAACAAATATATGCAGGCAGCTTACCGCATTGAATATAAAAATGTTATATTATTGTTAGTTTGTATTATATTTTGTTAACCTAACTATTACAATAATCATATTACAAAAATAAATTAAAAAGAAGTATATATGAACATTAATCAGCATATTTTTGCATTACTTGCAGCAAGTCTATTTTTGCCTGTGCTTTTATTTTGTTAGAGGTTATCCGGCGTAAGGAGGCTGCAATGTTGTAGGCGAAATGGTCGTCTTCATCCATGGCTTGTGGCTCGTTCGGTGGGGGTTGTTGGATTGCCGTGTTAAAAGCCGAAAAGGCATTTGAAATGGCTAATTGCATATTTTGGACAGAATTATTTTTCGTTTTTTCGTTTTGGCCGTCTTGTAATTGGAGGTGTAATGGTTACTCGAGTGGTTACTGGACTGTTGGGTGGCTCGTCTGTTTCCGAATCTGCAGGAGTGTTAGCAGGTTGTTGATCTTCAGTTTGTGTTATTTGCGTGAAGGTATCCCATTCTGGGGAATTCGGCATCTCCAAAATTGGAGTTTCTTGGTCCTGCTTTGCTGAGCAGGTTGAGATGTTGCCTGTAGTTCTGTAAAAATTATATTACAGTACATAAAGGAAAAGCAGTGAGGTGTACTAACCTTCTTGGTATAATAAACGTGTCCAGGAAACTTAATATATCAAATAAGGGCCATTTCTTCTCAATTCCTCCTGCATCACCGGATCTATTTGCTTTCATCTTCTTTTTTTCAACAGTGTACCTATTGCGTAGAACAGCGAACCTCTGTTCAGCCTCACCAGCTGTAATTATCTAATTATAATGTATAATAAATCAAATCTAAACCCAAAACTTACCAGATGTGTTTAAAATAGAACCAATTGTGGACCAAGCATTGGCCCTCATCGATTTGTTTTTAAAATCTGTATGTCTCCTATCATACAGAAAATTGTATTTTTCTACCAAATTTATTAAAATGGTATCATCCATTTCGCGTGTGTATCTTACGTAAACAAGCAGTAAACAAGTAATGGCGCCCGCAACGCACGTGTTCGACGTGACCAAGTAATTTCAATCAGCTGTTAGGAAAAATCAATAAATTTACCGCATGCGCATTTGCGTTTTCACGTAGCATTTAATTTAATAGTTGAAAGTTGGTTAACTTTTAATTTTTTAATTTAAATTTAAAATAAATTAAATGTGGCATAAACCACACAATTAATTTCTGAGGTTTTAACTTTTTTAATTTTAAATTAATTCTTAAATTTTTTGCATAAACCCACCTTAAGTATTGTAAATATAATGTTGAGGTTAAGTAAAGATTTATACCTGTGTTGCCGATTTGACTAAAGTATACAAGGTGTTTCGAAATTGTGCAATTCATAGATTCCAACAACAACAGCAAGTGTGAGGTTTTATGAGGATATTCAATTGCAAGGTATCGCTCTTCCGGAAATTCTGGAAAACACTACACAAGAGTTTGCACCGTGGATGACTCCTGCAGTCGAAATAAGAACGGAACTTGCGAAATACAAAAAGTCAACTACAAACAGTAACACTTACATACAGAAATTCCAAGATATATGTAATGAATATCCTTCGTATGAAATCATCTATACTGACGGGTCTAGAACGGAGAGAGGTGTTGGAAGTGCGATGGTGATTGGAGAAGAGTCCTATGAATGGAGTTTATGTTCGTGGTCCTCAATTCGCTTTGCCGAACAATATGCGCTGTGGCAGGCGTTGTTATATTGCTCCATCGGCGATAGACAAAATGTTATCATCGTCACAGATTGTATGGAAGCAGTGAATGGGATCTCTGAAATATATCCTGTTGGTGCGATGACGAAAAGATGCCAGTCCATTCTCAAGTTCTTAAATGGAAAAGAGGCTATAATTATTATTATATGGGTACCAAGTCATATTGGTATACCTGGAAACGATCAAGCAGACCATGCTGCATGCCAGGCTGCGTTAAGTAATCACATTGATGTTAACCTTATACATCCGTTGGACTTAGGAGAATACCTGAAAATGAAAAACCGGTTAATGTGGCAACAAAAATGGGCTGAAAGTAACACTCACCTGACCCGAATAAAACCAGATGTACGGAAACTCTATGTGTTAGACCAGGCCACTAGGGAAGAAAATGTAAAAATGCACCGACTGCGAATAGGGCATACGCAGATAACGCACCAACATATTCTTAAGGGTGAGATTGCCCGACAGTGCGAACGATGTGGGACTACTGTAACCATTCGGCACATAATTCAGGAATGCCCCATGTATAACAACGAAAGGGCGCTGCATAGTTTAAATCGAGAATATGTCGAAAACTTCTGTGCAACGATAAATGCAAAAAGTACCCTAAGTTTTCTAAGAGAAATAGGTATATACAGACAGATCTAAAGTGTAGTGAGAGATTTGGGGGCGCCCTAATTGGGGTAATATGACCATAGCAGTTAATGCCCTCAAAAAAAAAAAAACAGAGAAAATAGGTCAACATGCCTCAGAAATAGGCACATTCCCTTTACAAATTCTAAAATAGGTATCAATTTGCGAAAAAAGGCACTTTAGGCAAAATATAGTGCCCTTTATAATAAGTTATACGTTAAAATTTGTATTTTAATTTCACCGGCACTATATAGGCCAATGGGCCTAAAATCCCATCTCTAGTTATGACTTATATTCATAGAAGTTTCTAGGACTTCATGATCAATGATGTCGACTGGCATTATATCAAATTCACTTTCGGTAAATAGAATGTGCTCCTCATTACTGCATAATGCAGCGTCCAATATTTTCATAGTGCGACTGCTTAAGGGCATTTTTACCTTAAAGTTCAGTTACTTTCACTGAGTGCAATGCGGATTATTGTGAGATGTAAAGTCATTGAATACAATTTTAAATAAAAAATTCATTACCTATGTTTATAAAACCTAATAGTCTTTAATTTTTAGGTTCCATGTACATTAAGATTAGTGTTGTATAGGTTAGAAAATTGAATTAAAGAATTTTGTACTTGATTTCAATAAACCAAGAAAAATATTCATGTAATAACATAAACCGGTTATGAATATTAGTTTGTAGCGTTTTATTACAAAATACAGTAAAAGAACTATTAGCGATTTGAAAATATAACAGAATATCAAATATTAATTATTTATTATTCTACCTAGACAACCACCTATATTGTCATGGTCGCCACAGTACTCCCCCCTCAGTGACTACCTAATTGTTGTAGTCGCGGAAACGTACAAGCGGTTTAGTGTTTTTTCGTAGTCGAGTTGTTAAAAGAGGAGAATGATCTTCGGATGCAGTTTTTTCATTTTTTATCTCTGACATGTCTTCTGGTAGGAAAGCTGGTTTTAGAGGATCAATGCCAACGTTGACACTTTTACCGTTAAATAGAATAGTGTAAACTTTCTCACTGCGCTTGATTACTTCATGAGGTCCGGTGTAAGGTTGCTGAAGCGGCTTTCGTACTGCATCAACTCTTAAGAAGACATGTGTACATTTTTTTAGCTCTGGATGTACAAAAACTGCAGTTTTTCCATGTCGTGCTATTGGACATGAACGAATCTCACGCATTTGATCTCTAAGTCGATCGACGAAGGTTCCAGGATCCACGGAAGGATGTTCGCCATCAAAGAAAAATTCTCCTGGAATTCTGAGCCGAGTTCCATAAGTTAATTCTGCAGGCGAACATTGTAGATCTTCTTTGAAACTTGTTCTTAGTCCAAGGAGGATAGTTGGTAGTAGCTCAAACCAATTAGTGCTGTTATGACACATAATGGCGGCTTTCATGCTTCGATGCCAGCGTTCAATTAAACCATTCGATTGTGGACGGTAGGCAGTCGTGCGGCATCTCTTAATCCCAAGTAGATTCGTTAAGGACGTGGTAAGCGAAGCTTCAAATTGACGTCCTTGATCCGTCGTAATGCGTTGTGGACATCCATAACGAGACACCCAGGTGGAATAAAATGTTTTTGCTACTGTTCCGGCGGAGATGTCCACCATAGGAGTAGCCTCCGGCCACCTGGTGAAACGATCGGACATTGTGAGACAATATCTGTGCCCTTGGGAAGGTAGGAGTGGTCCTACGATGTCAATATGGACATGTGAAAATCTACTATCTGGAACAGTAAAAGAAGTTAGAGGGCTCACTGTGTGTCGTGATACTTTCGATTTTTGACATTGTATGCATGATCGCGCCCAGGACGTGATGTCTCGATTCATGAATGGCCAAACGAATTTCTTCTTTATCGCTCGACCGGTGTTTCGTCCACTAGGGTGTGAGAGATTATGAAACATATGGAAAACTTTTCGTCGTAGACTTTTAGGTACATAAGGACGGATTATGCCTGTAGAAACATCGCAGGCTATTGTTGTTGAACTGTTATCAAATGGACAAAGCTTTTTCATTTCTAACGATGTTTCGCTTCCATTCAACAGCCGTTGTAATTCTCCATCAATTTCTTGTTCAGCGGCGAGTGTTTCAGTGTCGATTACAGTAGGCGTGATTATTTCTTCGATTCTGGATAAAGCATCAGCAACGACATTACTTTCTCCAGGAATATGTATAATGGAGGTTGTAAACTGGCTTATAAAGTCAAGCTGTCTAAGCTGGCGAGGAGAGGATTTATCTGACTTTTGTTTAAAAGCGTAAATCAAAGGTTTGTGATCGCACTTTACTATAAAATCTCGCCCTTCCACCATAAAACGAAAAAATTTAATCGATTCGTAAATGGCCAGAAGCTCGCGATCATATGTACTGTACCGTTGCTGTGTTGGACTCAACTTCCTCGAGAAAAAACCTAACGGCGTCCATGAATCATTATTGCACTGTTCCAGGACTGCGCCGATGGAGGTATCTGAAGCGTCGGTTGTCAGCGCGAGTGTTGTACCTTCGATTGGATGTGCTAGAAGAGCACAGTTCGCCAGATCTTTCTTGCATCGTTCGGAAGACATTTCAGCTTTGGATGACCATATAATAGCCGTTTTGTCGTTTTTACAGCTGTTCTTCAGGTAATCGTTCAAAGGAGCCTGGATTTCAGCAGCATTCTTCATAAATCTCCGATAGAAATTTACCATGCCTAGGAAACGACGTAGGTCCTTGACGATGGTCGGTTTCGGAAATTTGAGGATTGCAGATACTTTGCCAGGGAGCGGCGAGCTACCATCAGCTGATATCAGGTGGCCTAAATATTCTACCTGATCAGCGCCTAAAACACATTTTGCAGGATTAACAATAATTTTGAATTCTTTAAGGCGCTGAAACACTTTTTCAAGGTGAAATAAATGCTCTTCAGGAGAAGAGGAACAAATTAAAATGTCATCAATATAACAAAAACAAAAATCAAAATCTGCTAACACTAAATTAATATGTCTTTGAAAAGTTTGAGCTGCGTTTCTTAAGCCGAAAGTCATTACATTAAACTCGAAAAGTCCAAAAGGTGTGATCACTGCAGTCTTTGGAATATCACACTCAGCCACGGGTATTTGATTATAAGCACGCACTAAATCTATTGTCGAAAAAATTGTTTTACCGTGAAGCTTATAAGAAAAGTCTTGCAAGTTTGGCACTGGGTACTTATCTGGAGTGGTAATGTTGTTTAATCGTCTGTAATCACCGCAAGGTCTCCAGTCTCCTGGTGTTTTCTTGGGTACCAGATGAAGTGGGCTAGCCCACGGGCTATTGGATGGTCGGCACCATCCTTGATCCATCATAAACTGGAATTCCGCCTTGGCAATTCTTAATTTTTCGGGCGAAAGTCGACGAGCTGGTTGCGATACAGGCGGTCCAGTTGTGATAATGTGGTGCACCGTGGAGCTCTTCACTTTAGTGTCTGGCGGTACGGGGCGAGTGATATCTGGAAATCGAGCCAAAACCTCATGATATTTTGAAGAAACTACGAGAGTTGTAATTGTTGGAGCATCGCAGTCTTCAATGCTAGCGACAGAGGTGAGTTGAGTTCTCGAGTCAATAAGTTTTCTGTTTCTTAAATCAACTAGCAAACTATAATAACTCAAAAGATCTGCGCCTATGATGGGTTGAGAGACGTTGGCTATAACGAAAGTCCATTTATACGATCGCCTTAATCCCAAGTCGAGGCAAATTAATTTTTCTCCATAAGTTGATATTGGTGAGGCATTGGCTGCGAAAAGCGACACTTTAGTGGGTATGCAAGTTGACTTACCCAAGAACTGCTTTGGAAGCACCGATATATCTGCTCCCGTGTCGACTAGATATCGAATTCCGGACTTTTTATCTGTTATGAAGAGGCGATGATGTTTTTCGCTACCCCCGAACACTGCCTCATGTGTCGGTGGGTTGTTTAGTTTTCCTTCGGCTTGAAATTACAGGGAGGCTTGCATTTTCTTGCCTTTTCACCGAAACTGGCATGGTAGTAACAAACTTCCTCTGCTGGGCGATGTCTAAAGTTACCGGAGTGTGTGCGTGAACGAGATTTAGATCGACCATAACGCTGTTGTGAACGTCCTCTATCAGTGGTGAGGGTTTTAACCATGTCAGTGAGCATCTCAATTTGTTTTTGCATTACTAATAATGCAGATGCAGATTCTGACATGTCCGTGCGTCTGGGAGACGCAGCACGGTTGACTGCAGAAATCGACCCAGAAGCGTATATTTCCACAAGTTTGTCTGCGACGTCGGCCATCTTATCCAACGTGACACCTTCGCTGGCAGAAAGAATGAGCTGGACATTTTGAGGCAAGCGTTGCACCCACAGGGTCTTCAGTACGTCTTCGTTAATGCGTTTATCTGCTAAGCTTCTCATCTGTCGCAGTAATTGGGAAGGTTTGTGATCACCTAATTCAATTTCATTAAGCAGCTTGCGCAACTGACGATCCTGCGAGTCAGAATACGCCGCAATGAGTTTCTTCTTTATGGTCTCGTATTTGTCTGTCGAGGGTGGATTAGCCACGACGTCGGAGACTTGTAATACATTACAATCTAGTGCAGCTACCACTGTGAAAAATCTTGTGATGTCTGACCTGATTTTATACGTATGAAATTGGGCATCTACTTGTGCAAACCATAGGACGGGATCCTTTTGCCAAAAAATTGGTAATTTAACCTTTCTAATCTCCTCTATCGTATCTGTTGTAGGTTCCGGTTGTTGTCGACTTTGCGCTAATTGTTCCTGCAGTCGCGCGATGAGCGTTTGTTGTTCCTGTAGTTGTTGTTCCATTTTTCAGATGTGTCCGCACGTAATCACTCACGTCTCAAGTCGGGGTCACCAAATTGTAGCGTTTTATTACAAAATACAGTAAAAGAACTATTAGCGATTTGAAAATATAACAGAATATCAAATATTAATTATTTATTATTCTACCTAGACAACCACCTATATTGTCATGGTCGCCACAAGTTGAAGGGCAGTCTATCAGGTAAACTACATTAAATTACTTATTTTTTAAGTAAAAAGGTACTTACCATGTGTAACGATTTTTGAGATGCAATTACTATCCTGCAGTACCTGCACACTCCACCTTAGGATTTCGGGATAAACAAGGTAGGTTTATAGGATGGAATTATTAATACTTATGTCCGAGAAATCAATTTGGTTTCATCTACACATACGGCCATCGGGCCATGTGTTTAATAAAAGAAAGTTGCTAGACTTTAATAATGGAAATTGAAACAATTTTTGCTGTGCAATTCATGACCTAGAATTACGAGGAATTCGCGATCACCATTCCAATTTTGGTTACTTTTATCTCGGACGCGCCACTAAGCAAAACAGATTTGCATTTACATTAAAGATTTAAAGCATTCTGAAATACATATCCTCATAACGAATTTAGTGATTCAATAAAAATCGGGATTTAATTACTCCGTTGGTGGTCTTTACTGTCCTAATTATTTCCTTTGACGCCAGCAGCTGCGATCGCTAATAACCTTCCTCCCGCTACGAATGCAAAAACTTAATTTACAGCTATTATAAATTTTTGCAACTACCTATTTGATTTTATTATAGAAAAAGAAGGATTTTTTGATTTTAGTAGGTTATTCCTTTACAAAGCGTGTGATTAAAATTCCATCATCTGTACACATACAAGTGTAATAACATTACAACATCAATTTTAGTAATATCGTATAATTAAGTGATATTCACCTTGTACAATTACACAGGTATAGTGTCTCGCATCGTTAAAGTCGTAATTTTTTAACATCAAACGTATACGTTATTAATGCCACGGTGAAGACTAAGAGTCTAAGAAACACTCTGCTCACTTAACCGCAGCGTTTATGACCAAACATTCAGCACTAGAAGCATTTAACAGTTTGCAATTAATGTAAGATTAACGAGTCGAAGACAAATGTGTTTAAATCATTATGATTAAGTGGCAAGAAAAACTGAGCGGCTGTTTATCATAATTTTATACCTAACCAAGATTAAATTATACATATTACATATTGTACATTTCAAAAAATGATAGATCGAAGATTCTTGTAAAAATAAAAAATTGAAAAATTCAACATTATCATAACGGTTGTTAAAGACATGAACGACAAGAAAATTAAATAACATAAATAAAACATAAAAGATCGAGAAATACTTATTATACATCATCATCAATCAAAATGACTGCAGAATAGCTGTTTTAATGTTAAAAAAAGACTCGAACCGAGAGTAGGATCCTTTCGATTTAAATTTTAGTGCAAGGGAGGTATGCACATTACTTTTTTACAGTTATTCCACGTTGATTTTATTTCACGTATTTATCGGTTGAACGTTGCGAAGGTTCGTTCGTTTCTTGAGGGTGGCGATTTCACCACTAAATTCCACGTCGATTCTTGGTTTCTTTTGACGGCAATGAAAATGATTTCTTCTGTGTAAAAAGATAATTAAACCAAAGGTTAGTTGTCATATATTCCCTTCATTAATATTATGGACAAAAATTGCATTCAATTGCTTTACCACTTTTAATAAAAAAACAAAAGAAGAAAATAATAAAATTAAAACATTCCCATGGCATTGTTAATAAGTCATAATTACATACACTAATGACAATTATTTGGGTTACGAGATCAACTTTTACAGTATTTATAGACTAGTAAATTAGTTCACTATAAAACTAACCAACACATATTAGGTAAATATCTATTAGTCTCCATTTTTTGTTTGGTTGTTTCTAAAAGTTATTCATTTAACGTATAAATGGGCGTGGCTGCATTAGTGAACTAATTTCTTTCTTTATGAATAGCATCTTTCCGATTAATTTTTTTAGATTATCTAGAAGTAATAGAATTAGAAAGTGCTCACGTTTTAATTGAATTAATTTTTTTTCGCGTTTATAATCTAGCAGCTCGACGTTAGACTTCCGAATTGGATGGCGATACACCTAAATATTGAATTCGGAAGACAAACAATAAAAATGCTTGGTATAGTTTTCTGGTTATGAAATCGGATATAAGAACTGGTTTAAAAGCCAATTTAAAGATATGAAACAGAAAGAATGTCTGGTTTAATTTAGTGAATGTATGTAAATTTAATACTTCATGTTATGCATCCAGTTTGCTTTTGGCAGGTGATGTTACAGTAATTACTCGTATTTTTAAAAAAAAACTCTAAAATGTGTGTAATTTAAATTACTGTTCGATTAATAATGATGTTGAAAAACGTTGTATTGATATGTATTTTTTCGGATGTGTCGTAACGTTACAAATCAATAAAGCCTTTGCAATGAATGGTTTAATTTTCTCTTTTACAAGGGGAGGGGGGAAGTGTAAAGGGCACTTTAAAAAATAATTGTTTGAAAACGTTTCTAGTTATGGCAACCTACACCCTCGCTTCGAGGAACATAAAAAACCATTTCGTTTACGTATAATCCAAAACCAATCGCATAAACGAAAAAGTTCAAATATTTTAGTAACAAAGAGAGCTATCGAAAAAAAGTTTCCAATAAAAGTTGTAAGATTCGATGGGATAAATTCAATGGACGCAGAAAAAAAAATTTTTAAATGGCGGTTTTCGGGATATTGACATCAACTTCCTTATTTTAAATGGATACCATATTGGATTTTTACGTCACTCGATAGAGAAAAAAATTATAAAACCAGCGACACTAAACACTTATTATTTCATTTGGGAATCAAACTTGCATTAATTTTTGCCAATGTATTTGTTATGGAAATAATTTCATGGCTGATTATGATTGAAACCAAATTCATTCGTTTATTGTCTCACATAGTCACCATCGACACGAATTAAATTTTCCCGATACAAAAAACTTGCGACTTCGTACTCACACAGACTTTATTGAAAGAACTGATGAAAATCATTCTTGATTATATGCACCTTATTTGTTTAGGAGTTGTAAGAAAATGATTATATTTTGGGTGCTTTGGAAAACCTCCAACTAAATTATCTTTTTAGGCTATCATCACAAAAACGTTGATTTTGTGGACGCTTTTGCGGCCATAAAGTTTAACTTTATTGTACGCTTCTGTCAAACTTTACTTTATTGTACACATCTGTCAAACTGTACTTATTTGAAACTGGTGTTTGAGAAACAGTAATCTGTTTAATACAAAGCGTCTATCTGGTCTAGCCCCATCAAGGATTGGGCCATCCACGTGCGTTTTTTTCATTTTCGGACTTGTAGGAATGTTTCACACTATTTTGCATAATCACAATGTTCACATTTAAAATTATAGTTTGACGTTTCAATCTTTGCTGCTTGCAGACCTTTTTGAAGTGTAGAACCAAAACATGAGGAAGATGTTGTTGCTTACATTATTATACGAAGAATCACCAGCAATTAACCGAAAACACAAGTAGTTACCTATACCTACCATCAAAGTAGGTAAATCAGGTTTCTAATAATTGTACAGCATGTTAACTATAAGGTCTTGGAAGCCACAGTTACGAAGGACCTATTGCATTTGACATTATTAAAATCTTATGCAGCGGAGGAAGTTGCGATTGTACTTTTACTCTCAAACGCCTGCTCTTATATCATATATGACTTAGGGTCGCAACGCTTGCAGCTTCCAAAATTTCATTTGGGGTATCTGAACTGTCGCTATCACCCATTTTGATACGCACAAAACACACGCAAAGATGCTTTGACAGGAAATGCTTTGTTTTTAATTGTCTAAGATAACTATGATTTTCAGAAAAAATATGTTTATGAGCAAATTTTTGAATTCTTTTTTGATGATCGCCTAAAAAATGTTGTGTGCACCTTGGCCAAAAGTGATTTGTTAGGCCTCATCTGAATTGCGGCATCGGCTACCGCCTCGGCCACAAACAGCGGCTTCGGCCAAAAAAGATCACTTGTACGGCCTTGGTACACAAATAACTATTTCATCTAATCAATAAAATCTGTTTTAGATCATGATATGTATTTGAATTTTTTATGTCTTCATGTAGCATGCACAATTTTGGGAAGCAAAAGGCATCTGCGTCAGTTGAGGTCATTAGCACATTCAAATTTAAGATATTTTGTAGAATCATTTAAAACTCTTTATGGGTCAGAGAATGTTTCTCACAATATTCACAATTTATTGCACATTTGTGAAGATACAAATGAATTTGAAGTATTAGACAGTTTTAGTGCGTTTCCTTTTGAGAACTATTTACATTTTTTGAAAAAATTAATTCGTAAAGGTGAGAAATTGTGGCTGGGTTATCTGAGAGAACTGCGAATAATTCTACTAATATATACCGCAACGAAGCATTTCCTTATTGGGAGAGCACCACAATGGTCCAAATATCGTTGGGATTAGTGGTACCAATTACAATCGGTTACTTTTTGATTCATTTTCCTTAACTATATCTGAACCAGACAACTGTTGTTGTTTGACCGATAACACAAGTGTATATTAGTCCAGGCAACTAAAACACTATGAAAACTGTACAATTTATATCGACTATTTATATCACACACTTCGCAATTTATATTTCCGCGCTCGATGTTTCATCCCTACTCGATCTCGTTCGGTAGTAAACTGACTGCGATGTTCGGTCCGCAACCATTTATACACGCAAGCAATGTAAGTCCAGAACACTCGCCTAATTACCGGATAAGTCTCGAATATTCCTATACAAATCCCACTATCGCGCGCGTAGAAAATTCCAGAGCGCTAAAGGCGACGTCATGTCTGGAGCGTTTCCGTTACAATATTTTTTACAACAAAAATTAGTTACCGGGCGAAACCAGGTTTTTCAGGCAGGTGAAATGAATAGAAATTGGGAAAAAATAATTAAAACAGCTGAATTTTTCCGCGGGTGAAATCACGGAGGTTGAAAGTGGTGTTTTGCAAATTGTGGCTAAACTATTAATTTTAGAGGAAAATGTTCAATGTAAAAGTTATAGAGATTAAAAAAATGAGCAACTTTTGTATCTGCACTATTTTCACATAACCTCCACTTTTCCTAGAAAAACCGGAAAAACTGTTTTAGTGCTGCACATTACTAAAGACACTAGGATGCAAAACAGATTAGTAAGTGCAATAAATAGCAGTCGCAATAAATAGCAGTCATGGTAGTAGTAGAGAAGTTGCAAAATCTGGGGTTGAGCCTTTGACTGACAGGGTGTGTATAACTGTATATGTATATACTACTGCAATCATATAGGCAAATTTCAGCTACAACATTCATTGCTTATGGATATAAATGTGCGAATGCAGAAATTAGAAGAAAGAATATCATTACCAACGCCATCTGTCCGTGAAATAAAAGATCATGAATCTATCTTTCTCAAATACGATTTTCCTTGAACCGGAAGTCAAAGGGCCCGTATGAATAAAAGTAAGCAAATGCTTATACTTGCAAAATTCAAAGTAAATACTCATAAGTGCTCCTTCGCACTGGGCGACTTAGCAGCGCTGATAAGCAGAAGGACAGGACGCAGTGGAGCGCTGCTAAACAGACCAGTATGAAGGGGCAGTTACGAGTATTTACTTTGAATTTTGCAAATATAAGCATTTGCTCACTTTTATTCATACGGGCCATTTTATGTCCTTTTTGTTTTTAGAAGTTGGAATGGAAGCCTTCAAAAATGTGACACAAAACAACCCTGAAAAAGCTATCGCTAAATGGCTCAAGAGAGCCTAAGAAAGGAAGTGAATATGTTAATTATTTTATATTCCGAATGTGTTTGAATAGATACGTTTTCAAGTAGTTGTTTTATTTGTTAATCTAGTGAAGTAAAACGACTGGTACGTACATGAACGGTTTATATCATTTGGACATACAATGGACGTCCACTGTACAAATTCTGTGTGTACGCGTACGTACTATGTTGGTACAGAAGGTCCACGTCACGTATGTACGTACAATGGACGTTCGATGTTCGTCTGTGTGTTATGTGGGCAAGAATTTGGAGATCGACCTCAAAGTAAAAATGTCTCCAACAGTCACTTGGAAAATACTTTTGACACGAATGAAATAGCGTCAATACATTCTCTTCAAAACACATTAACCCCCA